GGAGAAAATTTTAGAGAAAAAAATTGTCCTTCCCTATCCAGGTTTGAACCCGGGACCCATTGAATGAGAGGCGAACACCTTTAACTTTAGGCCACGAGAGCATTCTGGTGATGTTTGCTCCCTCTTTCCTATCGAACATCTATCATCTTTATCTCCCCCTTTTTTTTTTCTTTTTTTTTCACTCTCTCTCAGCACCTCTAATCTTCGGCATTTACATTACCTTATTGTGTTGAAAATGCCGTAATAATCTTACAAAATCCAAGAGACTGACGCGTGATTGTTCACCCGGCCTGACAACTGACTATGATGTCTTGAAAGGGATATAATAAACTATTGAAGTACATTATGTACTTAGCTGACTCATAGTCAAATCGTGACTCACAGCAGAACAAAGACCATTTTGTAGCAATTTCGAGCAATAATATTATAATAATGCACAAATGAGAAACACGAATTTGCGCTTTTCATAGTATGCGTGATGTAGTTTTGCCTTTTTTTAGGTTAAGGATAGAGAAAAAAACCGAAATTAAAAAACTGTTCGAAGAGGGAAGTATGCTTTTTTACATTTTTTATTGGCCCCAGAACAGTACGTCTTCAAGCTTTGTCAAAAAAAACCCAATCAAATTATGTGTCCTCAAAGAAAAGAATTGAGCTTAAAAAAGTCACACAACGAAAACAACATTTCTAAAAAAAATAGTAATAATAATTTTTTTTTAACTGACAACCTAAACAGAACTAATTTATAAAACGACAACAAACAAACACCTGTTTATATCTTTTTTTTAAAACTCTTTATCTCCAGGTACCTGGACTTTCTCAATCTGATGTCCTACGACCTGCACGGGGCCTGGGAGAGATCGACTGGTCATAACAGCCCACTGCATAAAGGATCACACGAGTGGGGACTTAGTGCCCAGCTCAATGTCGTAAGCGTCTTGGAAACATAATCAAGTTTTGTTTGTTTGTTTGTTAATGTTGTTTTTTTTTTAATTCTTAATTATTTTTTAATTTATTTTTTACTTTTTTTTAGGAGGGAGTATTTTAAACATCACCACGGTGCTGATTTACGCTGGAGAGTATCTGGGGGGGGTTGTTGGGTTGTTGGGTTGTTTTGTTTTTTTTGTCTGCGGTTTCAAATTCCTCCCGGATGTAATACTACGACACGTAATAATATGTTATTTTGAAAACGAATTCAAGCGAGCAAATAAACAAACACACACCCACACAAACAAACAAACACTCAAGTAAAGAGACTGGTCTTGCTTCTGGAGCTTTCTCAGAGCGCAACCTTTTCTTTCACAAATGTATCCAAGCCACTGAATAGGTGAGGCACCCTGGTGAAATCTGACGCTCGTCGAAGCAATGAACTCCAAGAATCCGGCATTTTTCTGGGCGTTGGGCAAGTTTTTTTTTCTCGAATTTTCTGTTATGGCTCAATACCTTGGTCCTTTTATTTAAAAAAAACAAAACAACAACAACAACAACAACAACCTACATTTCTGTGCGGATATTTCTTAAAAACGTTGA